GAACACACGATCTGTTCATGGGAAAAAGAAATCAACATATTAATAAACCATCATTATAATTTATTGATTACGACATGTATAAATACGGCGAACGAACCGTAAACCATGGGTTAATGAAACGACTTTGATGGTATATCAAATATGTAATAATTTTTCCACAATAGCCACTGAATATTTAGTAAATTGGTTATTTTTTAAATAGTCATTCTTAATAAAAAAAGTAGTTGTTGACTGTCGCTTTATAAACGGTCTCCATTAGAAAACGTTAGATATCAATGCGGTTAATTTTCAAAGTCCATTGAAATGGTTTATTGTTTTTACTTGTAAATTATTTGTAGTTCTGTATTATAAAATTAATTTTTTGATCGTAATAAAAACTAGTATGTTTAATCAGTTATGTGTGAATATTGTTAACCGCCGTAATATGAAACCTGAAATATATCTAGACATTATGAATGTAACCATTTTTGAAAAGCATTTGAAATATTAGTTTTGAAGATGGTACAGGTATTCAGTGTTTGACAACGCTCTTACCAGCAACACCTTCTAATATAATTTGTACCCACCGAGAGAAGTCAAAAGACAGAGTCGAGGAGATCGGAATAGTGTATTTGGCGATATCCAATATATCGGAATTCTCTGATCTAATCTGGCTAGCGATTGCGGTAGATGTTGAGCACAGCTTTACCACACGTGATCTGGTGCGGATGCATGACCGAGCGCCTTCAGCTAGATGAGTCCACTAAAACATATAGTCAGCATCCAATGTCGTCTAACTAACTCAACAAATATCTATCAACATTAAACGTATAAACATGAATAAGGTTAACTGGATCAATGAACATTTAAAATGTTCATATTGTTTATTTTCCTCATGATCATTATTATTATTATCTTAATTGACAAGATTTAATTCTCATATAATGTATTTCATTGACACAAAATTTTTTACATTTTCAATCTTCCGATAATGCTCTTCCACTTATTGTGACTGAACACTTTGCTGCAAAATCATCCAGACATTTATGTCGTAACAGATGCAAACGTTCACCATTGTTAACACATTACATTGTCAAATTCATTAATGCCATGACATATTTTTGGACTTTATAAAATATTAAAATTATGGACTTATAACTGTATAGTGTGATTGTACCAATAATTAATAGTTAAAGAGGTGTGTAAATGAATACGTTGATATAATCAGTAGTTACGAATAACAATGAAGGATTAGTTGACGATCAGACGTACTTCTTACGTACGCATAGTTCAAGGTTTCAGGTACTTTTAATATAAAACAAGAATGTATATACTTGTATATACTTGCACTTTGTTCCTATTGATCCTCTTAGTTGAACATTGTTAACTTTTTGACTACATTTGAATTGTTAATATTTGTATTTTATTATAGTTTTTGTTTTTACTACACCTTCACTAATTCCCCGTGTTTATTCCCGAACTGAACTTATGTTGTTTTACTTTATACTAAGTTTGGGCGGCAGCCATATTGGTTTGTTCCTGCTCTTGATTGCTTGAGCTGTGTTGACTCGAATTGTTGGTTGTGAATGGAAGCACTCTTCCAGAATTGAAAACACACCGTGTTATATAGCGATCAATTATTACCTTTTGAACGAATCTGTACGTGATCTATTCAGACAGGATAGAATAACGTTTATTTGTGATGATTGGTAATTTTCTTGCATCCTTTATCAACTTTCTTATTTATTGTAATTTAGATTTGATCAATTGAACAATTATTGGTTGGATAGCTGAGTGGTTATATTTGTTTAGGTAATAATGTATACTTAAATTTATAATAAATTATAGAACCGTCATCTTACCCAATTACTTTGTTTTGGTTTCAAACGGGCGAGGGCGCGTATCTAACTCTTCCAGACAGCTGTCCATCAGTCCAACCGTAGTTTGGATCTTACAGTACTATTATTAGATAGTTCACAAATGTGTTACTAATACATGAACGGTAATCACATTATTTTAAATCTAAAATCCCAAGAATAGTATTCATTAGATGACAAAATGTTATCTAAGTTTTCTTAACCTTTATATGTAATAAACGTCAGAAACAAGTTTACGAATACATGAGCAATAATCGCTTTTCCATTATTAATTACTAAGGGATATCTAAATTCATTAGACATTAATAAGTGCTTAATCACTTGAACTTTGCCATGGAAAAGAAGTGGAGAAAAAATAATGGAAATTAAATTTTGGGTGGCCCTGAAAAAAGCCTTTACTCGTCCTCGCGGTCGTACGTCGTAACTATTAGTTAGTAATGGCGCGACACATCGGACAGTGGACTGCTCGTACGTTCGGTGATGGGTTATAAGCACAGAACCTATGAAACATTGCTTCACAAGTACAGAAAACCCAACCAACTGCATCACCAGTTTCACACGGCGGCTGTGCCAGATTACAGATGTCACACAAACGGTTGTATTCCTCCTCTTCTTCATATTGCATGTCGCGTTCCGTTAACTCTTCGGAGTTTAGGGAAACTACTTCATCGTCCAAATCAACGTTTCCTCGGTGCGTCGAAGGCCTTGCAACGTGAGTCGACGTTCTTGTTTCACTGTACAATCGCGATTCTGCCTGTAAGTTCAACGGCGTTGGTGGTAGTCTACCGTGAAATTGTTGATAAGCATGGATATAAAGTGAACTGCATTGTTCCTCAGACATTCACCTCACTAATGCAATCAATGCATTCTGCATGCTCGGTTGGCTCAATTGCATTGGGAAATAATTCTCAACTGCAATATGAGTCAGATAAGTATCAGAGTGTAACCACCTATCACAAATCGACTGTAAGTTCACATCAGTAATACTGTGTGTACAGTAAGCCAATATGTGCCGACATGGCAAACCGTTTTCAATGGAAAATGAACAAGAACAGCGCATGGAATCGCGGTGTACATTGTAAGTGCTTGTTGCTTCCACAGCCGTGAATAAGTCAACAGACATTACAAACTCCGTTATAGGAGTGTGCAGGTGCCGCTTCAGTACTTGACATGCAGTTGGTGTCAGTCGAACATTACGCCAAAAAGTTGTATAATTTCTAATCGTACCTTCTACATTTACGGTTAATGTGTTAATGTTAGTGAACAGTACACTTACCCTCCTTATCACATTGCGAACAAGATGTACACGACACAAAATGTGGTGAGCATTTGGATACATCGGCGTGATGGCAGCGGCTATTGTAGGTGAATTATCGGTCACAATGCCTATCACCTGTCGACTGTTGGTAGACCGTTGGAAAAAGAAGAGGAATCGAGAAATCAAGGCCGACGTTTCGCGACTTAAAAATGTAATGCAAACGGGTATTGCCTTAAAATTCATATCAAGGGCTACAACGTGATATAAATATATGTTATTTGACTTGTACATCCCGTCGAAATCAATAACATCACAGAAACGAACTGTCAAATTCATTTGATCAGTAGTCATGAAGAAAAAATACGATAGACAATTTTCATCGTCTAGTTCGTATTCGCAAAGCCCACCCAAAGATGTTATGTGAGCTTTTAATTTTGCGTAATCACCTATGGTGTATACTATAAATTGGCAAATTGCTTACCAGGAAGGTTCGCGTGTGAGAACACTTTATACCGCATATTAAATATATCTTGATCATTCACACATTTTCCATAAGAATGGCAAGCAAAATGTTAATGTCGAATGCTGCGGTATCAGATATCAGCAGCGGTCTCACAATTTGAAACTCCCCATCCGTTAACCTGCGCACCCATGAATTACCTTGGTACCTCAGGGAATTGCGCTCGTGGTTGTGATGCACATTCCCACTTACAACAGTCCAGTAGCCGTCTATGATCTTACAATACCTGAAGGCCGGACATTGAGTGTTCATGGAAGCCCTTCATGACCAAAAATTTTAATAACATTAATCAAATCACCTCCTCCGTCTGATCCGATGTGACGAACCGCTAGATGTTATTATTATTATTTTTGCACTGTATAGTATGTTGTGTACATACTGTTTCTGTAAAGAGAAGACAGAAATGAAAATATCCCAAACATTTTGGTGTTCTCGAGTGCGGCTTATACTACTACGGTTCAGTATTTAAGAGGGTCTTTTCACAAAAGCTTCAGTTACCTTATTAAAGCCAATCCAATGATATTCAAATGAAATAAGAATTTTATGATTGATTTGAATAAAGAACCTGTAATGCGATAAAATGTGATTTATTATCGTGTATGTATTCAGTCGTTGATTGCTGTCTTCAACCCAGACTCGGATTCAATTGACACAACGTTCAGTCTGATTTAGACTGATGGATCAATGCTAACAAGCATGAAGCTCATGGATATGTGTAAAAAAAAGATGAACAAGAACTGATGAGTTACATAAACCTGGAGAAACAACAATGTCAATGTTGGACTTGAGAATCTCAACTAAACTGAGCATGTACTAGAGATCTAATAATGATAAATATATAATTTGTAATGTGCTCATGGGTAGAAAATTGCACATCTGACGTTTCGTGACTTAATGTATTCCACCTCTTCACAGTAAATAAGTCACTGATGATATATTTACTCTGAAGAGGTGGAATACATTAAGTCACGAAACGTCAGGAATACACATTTTCACTCTTCAGTATATTACATAGTGTAGAATAATTCACTTATTTTCTGATTATTCTCACGAATGTAATACACTTGATCACCGTCAAGGGTTACGTTTGCTTCACCATTGAAATTACAATATTCGATACCATTGTTATAACAAATTAAATCAACTGATTCATTTCATTTGAACACTAATATACATGAGAATACTCATGTGAAATATAAAAATAGAAACCACTTCTCTAATTAGTAGTATATACACACATAGAAGTAAACGCAAATACATTCATCACACAACAACAGTAAATGTTCCACCATCATTTGAATTGACAACATGGAAAACAAAAAGATGAAAATAGCTGTAATGTGCATGATTCCAGTTATAGAAAAACAAACATTACACACATATCACAACTATTTACTACATTGATGCATCTCAGTTAGAATGAAGATAATTAGTCGCATATTTTGTGACAAATCACACATCATCTATCATCACATTTCAATAGTAAAATCGAATATCTGTCAACACTCTCTTATAGTCGATCCATTAACATCAAACTGACAAATATGAACTAAACATTCTCACAAAACAATTGGAAGCGCTTTTCATCGAATACAACTGTTTGCTTTTAGTAAGTGAAGCTTCTGTATTCCTCTTGATTTGCCCACTTCATTATTAACTATGTTATCAAGATATTTGATGGAGTTCGGCTTGTCTATGGAATTAAATCAGAGATCGTATTGAAATAACACCGAGAAATTTTACAAGGAGTGGTACCACTCATCTCTCTGCGAAGTCTAGGTCGTCTAGCTGCATCCTAGATATCCACTGTATCCCGCGTTTCCCTACAGATGTTGATGTTTTCATGATCCAGTCGATCACCAGGAGAAAGAGAAATGCTGAGAGTAAGCAACCTTGCTTGACACTGGTCTTTACCACGAACGAGTCTGTCGATTGTCCTCCATGCACAATTTTGCAGTTTAATCCATCATAGGAATTCCGTATGATATTGACTATATTCTGAGGTACGCCGTAGTATCGAAGAAGCTTCCATAGTGTTGTTCTGTCCACACTATCAAATGCTTTATCGTAGTCAATGAAGTTGATGTGGAGTGATGAATTCCATTCAATTGATTGTACAACAATGATCCGTAGAGTTGCGATTTAGACTCTAAACGATCTATCCCTACGGAATCCTGCCTGTTGATCTCAAAGTTGAGCGTCTAAGCAGTCCTTCATCCTGTTTAACAATACACTGTTGAAGACTTTTCCCGGTATTGAGAGAAGAGTGATGCCCCTATTGAAGGCACATAGATTTGCAAATCTCTCACCATTTTCGTTCCTTTATCCCGGTCCGTGTAGTCCCATGATGTCTTCATATCCGGTGTTGTCCATTCCAACCTTGGCATTGAAATCACTCATCAGAATGCCCAAGTCCTTTGTTATGCACTTCTCGATGATTGACTGCATCCTATTGTAGAATTGATCTTTAGCGTCTTCATTGTAGTCGTTGGTAGGCGCATAGCATTTGATGATGTTCATTGTGATGCATATTCTCTCTTTGTTTTGAAGGACGCTTTGATGATCCTTTGTCCATGAGATTCCCATTCTATAAGTGCATTTTGTGCTTGTTTGGACAGCATCAATGCAACTCCTTGTGTATGTGGGGCATTCTTCATGGCCGGAATATAACATAGTTTGGATTATTTCTTCATGTTAGAGTTGTTTTAGCGAGTTAGTTTTCTACGTGATGGAATCGCTAACCCCATGCCCAACCCTTTTCCTTTACTCGAACTTTGGACCGGCAGTAAGTCTAGAAGAGATACAGGTGGAGTCAATGAAGCCTTAGCCATACGAAAATTCAATCCTCCTTTGTGTATTCAAAAACAGCTTGTTCTCAGATTGTTCCAAATGTATTGCGATAATATATCATCATTACATAGTTCTGACAATCTTCGTCTTCTTATTATACACTAGCGAAATTTCTCAAAGGGACTAATTGCTTTAAGTGAAAAATCAATCAATCAATCAACCAATCAATCAATCAATAATAATAATAGGGATAAGGGAAAATATGACTCATCTGACACCTGTTAGACAATCTGCATTTTTGACTAAGCAGATAACCAATCATTATCATTCTTGCCCACACATCACCTCCCTCGCAAAATTTGCTCGTATGATTTCACTTTTGAGTCTATTTGTAAAAATCTGGTTTGTTTCCGTTCTCTGGATGATCTTCAGCTACCTTCTGATTTCAACTCATTTTTTGTCATTTCAACCTGTGGTGGTAGTGGTGGCATATTAAATGTATCACATAATACTGAGTTTAGATGACTCATAAACACTTTTTCTATCTCACAATTCATTGATTAGTGTATTTTCGACCATCAATTTATACAATACCGTCTCACGTCTTTGATTTACACACCCAAATGTTCATTTTGGTTTGTCAGGACGGAAATCACGTGCATAAACTAAGTCACTTGTTTTGAATTCGCGAATCTTCGGGCAATTCCATTTCTTGTTTTTCTTTGTAGTCCACTCATTCTGTCTTTCGAGATCAAAACATCGAGAAATGTCCTAATTGGTCAGCCAAACATTATATTGGCTGGTGAATTTCTGTCTTGACAGTTTGCACTAGGTGTAATTCTATAGAAAATTAGAAGATGTTGCAGAGCCTCTTCTACGTTATCTTCTACCATCATAGAGTTCGCTTAAGAATATCAACACATTTTTCTGCTTGCCCATTCAGCTGAGGTTGATACAATGGAGTTCCAATGTGTTCGATTCCATTTCTTTACAGAACTCCGCAAACTCTGTCGACGTGAACTGCGTTCCGTTATCTGAAACCAAGACATTAGGTGTCCCAACCTACCTATTAGTTGTTTGAGATATAACAGTGTTTCACATGTAGACGGTCTTCGTACGGCATAGATTTCGGTCCATTTAAAGTACGAATCTACCACCACCAAAAAATATTGTCTGTTTATTGGTCCAGCCTAATCGATGTGAACTCGTTTATAGCCATGGCTAGGATTCTACAATCAGCGTATTCGACGATAGATCCCACAAATCAAATTTATCTATCCAATCAATACTTAATACGTCGGTATTACAGTTTCCAGATACATAATATTTTCCGGTCATAGTCCTGTCACGCAATGTGAGAGGTAGCTGTATTTCCTCAAGAAGAATAATATTAGTTCCTGTTGCACTTTGAGCATTATAATATGTAGGTTGATATTGAGGTTGACCAAGTTTTATCCAAGTCTCTCTAGAAATTAATGTTATATCAGACCCCATTGTCACGTCCAACTTTCTGCTTGTTTCATTCAATTGGTTCCCTTTATGAATTTAAATAGAGCAAGAACAAACATTGATGCAGAATAGTATGAATTCATATTATTTCGAGGTTTCTCGTCAGCTGCTTACAAACCAAAATTGTGATAGAATTTTTTTACATGGGGATAGTGTGAAAACAATTGACATAAATGAGTGTAAATAACTGGATTACAATAATAACTATATATTTTTGAGATGGTGGAGAAGATTTGTAGCTCAGGTGGATGATTTTGGTGGAGTTTTGTTCTCTGAGCTGGATGGTTTGGTCGTGGAGCTTTCATCGTTCAGAAGAACGATAACTATATATATATATATGCTAGAAACAGGTCAGAGGTCAAAAGAGGGGGGTTAATCCAGAGTGGGTGGTGTAATAATTTAGTGAAGTTCATAAATTGTGTGATAATTGTAGAGATTAATGGAATTAAATAATGATAATGTAAATTACGTAATAATAATTAAATAGAATTTGGAAAGTTAAGATAATTTAAGAGGATCAGGTGGTGGAAATGTGTGAATAATAATGTGGTTTAAGAATTAGGTAATAGGGGGGGGGAGTATAAAATATCTTAGAATAAATAAATGAACAAAATAACCAAAACACAAAACAAACAGAAACAAAAAGATTACCAGGGTAGTGATAAGTTTATTAAAGTCTCTTTTTCGATGCATAAGTCCAGTTTCAGTTTCTTAATTGCAATGGCTTCAGTAGTTCTTTGTCTATTGATAATTTTAAACGCGCGTATAATATCGACGGTATGCCTGGTGTCAAGTAGATGCCGAGCTATTGCACTGTTAAAAGCTTTAGTCCCTCGCAGCGTCAAGTTCTTCGGGATATGCTCAGAAATGCGAACCTGTACTCTTCTCTCAGTTCTTCCAATGTATGTGCTACGGCACGTACATATGAATTGGTAAATGCAGTTGGAGCAACTGAAGCGAGAGGACGTGTCGATCTTCGCTTGTTACAGTGAGCAGTATGTTTTCCATGACGTAGTCGATTTGGCTGCCGGGTAGGTCACTTTTAAAGCGGAATTAATTCTGTGATTGATAATTCCGGCGACTTCATCTCCTTTGAAGCGCAAGTATAGGAAGCAGGTTTTCTTTTCAACTGTATCATGCTTAATCGGAGGGTTTGTATTAGCATATTTGTGGATGAATTTATCCGGATATGCATTTTCACGTAGGCATTTGGTGATTGTAGTAATTTCTTCTTCGAGGCATTCTTTTGAGCAGATTTTTCGTGCGCGGTCAAAAATGTTTCGTACAATATCCTTTTTATAACTCATTGGACAGAAGCTGTTAAAATTGAGATAGACTCCGCTCCAAGTATTTTTGCGGTGAATGTGACTTTATAGTGTGCCATCTGATGTTCGCCTAATTCCAATATCTTGGAAATGGAATTTATCATCATCTTCAGAGGAATAGTAGAGTGCCTAACGCGTATGTTTGGTGTACACTGATTAATAAACAAATCTTCATGGCGTGTAAACCATGCCTCAAAAGTAATTTCACATTCTGGATCGAATCTAAATTCATTTATTGATTTCGCAATAGAATCCGGAGTCATAGTGAAATTAGATACATTGATCCTTGGTGATATTGACATACTTTTGACTAATAATTCGATAAGAAAATTTTGCTATTGCAATTGAAGTTTACACACTGAAACCCGACAAAATCCAACAACAATTAAAAATCAATCAATCAATCAATAATAACAATAAGGATAAGGAAATACATAACTCCCCTGACACCTGTCAGACTATCTGCATTTTTGACTAAGCAGATAACCAATCATTATCATTCTCGTCCACACATCAATTACATTAATCATCCTTCATGAAATACACCTGCTCCACATGAATCTCATCCTGTTTACTCTCACTTAACTAAACTGCCACAATTACAGATATCCAAAATATTTGTTACGTACATTCACAGCTTGTGTTCTTCAACGTTATATTGGTCTATCGACTGTCTTTATTATTTTGAAGTATGTCCTCATGATTTTGAATGAACAGTTACCTAGCATAATTGAGGAAATACTGTTGGACATACTGAGTATGCAACCACTCATAATGTCCATGTCATCTCTGTATGACCATGACCTGATTATGTGTGGTTAAGTGTGACTATAACAGGTATGAGCTAGTGATGTTGACAGATGTGAGTAGTATGTATTATCAATCGAAAGTGAAATACCTGAAACAGGAGGTTGAGAAGATCAAACAGAAGAGGGTGTAAACAGAGATTGATTAATGTGGAACCAGAAGCACAGTGAATTCTGAGACGATTGAATGGCATTTGCAGAAGGAACAGTCAAGTTTGAGACAATGAATTGACATTTTGCAAATGCAGTTTATATCTAATGGTTATCAGATATTTTCAAAAGATATTCTGTAATTTTCTTCTCAAATACACTTGTGTTCTCGTTCACTACATCACAATTACCACTAACAAATGCATAAACATACATCAAACCAAATTTTAACTACTTATAATGACAAGTTGTATACATTTGACTTTGATAATAAAATGAAGCCGAACCATAGTGACAATGATAATGATGAAGTGATTCATTAGTGCTTCTGAATTAAGTAAGTTAACTTTGTGTTGTGCATGAATTTCTATTAGAAATACACAGTACAATGAATAAATTAATTCAGACGAATCCCAATTAATTTCACTATTTCACTTGATATTTTGTGAAAATTCAGATTCAAAGTGAAAGATACATTGACTCACATTTATTACCAGTACATACAGCATACACAATATCATCATCTCAGTGAACAATATTGAAATGTTATTGTCAAGTGAATCTTGGACTAAAATATTCATCTTGTGCAATTGTAGTTTTATAGTAAGTATCATTACATGTGTTCGCCTCATATGGTTATTCATTTCATCATACTTATACAATCCAGGTATTCGGTGTTGTTCTGTTAGCACTCGGAATTCAACCACAAATCACATTAAATCAATTCAGAACTATACTAGAAAATGCGAAACCAGAGATCTTCCTGATTGTCAGTATTTCAGGAGGTCTCGGTGTACTAGGATCATTTGCTGGCATTTATGGACACTCGATGAAACAGAAAATGATCATATATTTTGTAAGTGATACGTGGAATATGGACAAATGTATTTCACTCACACTTCTGTTTAGAACATTTTCGTTTTGTTTATCGTGACTTGTATGTGGATCGGAATGGCATCGAAAATAGCTTTAACGGAAGACAGGGTTTGTTTGATGTAAACTGAACCTAATGTGTCGTGCACATTGACCTTCATATCATTATAGTTCCTTAATTTAGTTAATAGCTCGCTGAGTTCTACTGTTAAACATTATGAGAAACGTGTTGATTATCGAATGGAGTTTGACGAATTACAAAAGAGTGTAAATTATAATCAAATCAAAAGTTCTAATGCCTTCTTCTCTATAGTTTTACTGCTGTGGAGCAAATTCGGAAAATGACTATCGACATCCAACTAATCATAGGTCAGTACTTACACCTCCTTCATGCAAATACGACAGATTCGCATATCCTAAAGTAAGTCAATAATTTTGCAAATTTTTAACCAATTAACTTACCTGATTTCATCAGTTTAAGAATCTCCATAGAATATTCCCTTTTGAATTACCTTCCGATTTACAACCGAATATTGAATGTTCAGCTCACTCACTAGGAACACGTTGAGTCAACTGGCATGTGGAATAATTTTATTAATTGAGCAGAATTTCGACCGCGTTTTAAGAACATTTGTTTGCATGTTGCTAAGTGATTTCCATCATAGGATTCATCGCATAATGCTATTCATCTAGGCGAATACAATCATCTTGATTACGTGGTTTTCGATGACACACATGAATATCTATAAGAGTTCCATATTTGAAGATTAGGTGACATTAAATCCATTGAAGTTGTTGTCATTACTGACACTTCTGTACCTCACATCAGCACACTATAACTCAATCATATTAGTGAGTGACTACTGGTAAAATCAAAACCATTAACTCAAACTCACTCAACTGCTCTACCGACACAACAATAGATTGTTGTCTGTGACAAGACAGTTCTGCATTGTTCTCAGTCTTATTCTCATTCACAACAACATCACAGTCTATTCACTTTCACTACGCTTCACATTTCAATTATCCATGTAGATTTATTGAATGAATGATAAACATTTCATTGTAATTGTTTATTCAATTTTTCTCATCATTTCATCAAAGGGATGTGTATCAGCAATAATTGAATATACACAAAATCATCTAAATACAGTCATGTATCTATGTTTCATATACGGGATTATTCAAGCGGTCTACTTGTTATTGTCATTTCTGAAAATACGTAAATTTGATGGTGACGATTTTCTATCTGCATAATTGTCTTATTGAGACCAAATGTTAAGAAGATATTGAATGGAACCTAATGTCAATCAAACAACCGAATCATTGACTATTCATTACTCATTCTATTGTCATTTGATCTTACTAATTTGTACACCATTATACACTATTCTTATCAACTGAATAATCAATTTCTTCATTATTTTCCTTGTTTAAATCAACTTGTTACTGGGAGGTATTTCGAAAGAAAACAAACAAACAATGAGAAACGTTCATTCTCTTTAACACAATCGATAGGATATTTCAACTAGAGTATATCAGTCAATCAGATCCGAAGTGTTCAAAAAACGAACACATGGTACTTGATCGAAAGGAGATTATTCTTATTATCATAAGGTATTGATTAGATTTCAAGATAGATGGTTGTCATCTCTTCAGTGTGTTTATTGTGAAGGTGTAATAGCAATGATAAATCGATCTAGTTGTGGTTATTGAGAGTTGCATTATGATTTAATGATGGGAAGTCATTGGTTGACTATAACACTGAGAACATTGTGGATTGATTTAGCTTTAGAAGTAAAACGATAGGCGTACTTTTCTTTGATATTGATATAACATGGCTTGGAATTACTTACTTGCACCTGTTACTCTTAATGGAGCCTACTCAGCCGACCGGCATTCTCCAACCCACTCTGTCCTGGGCCTCCTTTTCTAATTCCATCCAATTCTTGTTCATCTTTTTCATGTCTATTTCCATTTCTCGGCGTAATGTGTTCTTTGGTCTTCCTCTTTTCCTTTGGCCTTGAGGATTCCATGTGAAGGCTTGTCTTGTGACGCAGTTGGTTGCTCTCGTCAATGTGTGTAGTATCCACTTCCATCGCTTCTTGCTGATTTCTTCGTCCTCTGACATCTGGTTTGTTCTCTACCATTGTTCTCTACCCACCTGTTTCGTTGTTCTTCAATATTGGTGATTACCTTTCCTTCCTTGCTTTTCATTGGTCGTTCTGGTTCGCGGCGATTTCCAGAGAGTTTCTTTGTGGTGTCATACAGTTGTTTCATGTTTCCTTCTCGTGCAGTCTTTTCCGCCGTCGTTGCTAAATCTTCTACATATTTACGTTTGTCAGTTCAGATGCTCCTCTTCACTTGCTTGTTTACTTCTGTGTATTCAGCTTGTGCCTTGGTTTTTTCTGCTCTTGTTCGGCTGGTATTGATTGCTGTCTTCTTGTTCCTCTTTTCTTGAATTTTGTCCAGTGTATCAACAGTGATCCATTCCTTGTGATGGTGCTTCTTGTGGCCCAGAAAGTCATGGCATGTTGAAGCGATTGCTTCTTTGATCCCATTCCAGTTGCTTTCCATAAAAGATCCTTCTCCATTGAGTAGATCATGAAAGGCCTGGAACTTGTTGCTGAGGACTATCTTGAATTAGTTGAGATGTCAGTATCCTGAAGAAAGGCCGTATTGAACGTTTGTGATGTTGTCCGCCCTTATTGTCCAGTGCTTCTTGAGTTTCAATTTCATATTGGCGACCAGCAAGTAATGGTCTGATGCTATATCAGCTCTATTGCTTCTCACAGCTTCCATCGTCTTCCTGAATTGTTTTTTAATGCAGATATGGTCGATTTGGATTTGTGTAGTGGGATCCGGGGAAGTCCATGTCATTTTGTGAATGCGTTTATGCGGGAATATGGTGCCACCTATTACCAGTTTATTGAAGCCCCATAGGTTTGCAAATCTCTCACCATTTTCGTTCCTTTATCCCAGTCCGTGTCGTCCCATGCTGTCTTCATATCCGGTGTTGTCCATTCCAACCTTGGCATTGAAATCACTCATCAGAATGCCCAAGTCCTTTGTTATGCACTTCTCGATGATTGACTGCAGCCTTTTGTAGAATTGATCTTTAGCGTCTTCATTGTAGTCGTTGGTAGGCGCATAGCATTTGATGATGTTCATTGTGATGCATATTCTCTCTTTGTTTTGAAGGACGCTTTGATGATCCTTTGTCCATGAGATTCCCATTCTATAAGTGCATTTTGTGCTTGTTTGGACAGCATCAATGCGACTCTTTGTGTATGCGGGGCATTTTCTTCTTCATGACCGGAGTATAAAAGAAGCTTCCCTGAACATCAATTCCGTCCTAGTATGACATGCATGAACATTTCTCTCCCATGATCTCACCGAGGATCAACTCCGAAAATGTTAGATACTTAGAACGGAGCTGGACATTTCCATCATAAAATCGGTTCTCAGTTTTCTAAATTAATTCACTTATTCTGTTACAATAAATAAAAATAGGTAGAGTGAAGGAAATTGACTGAGTCCAGTTCGTCTATCATCAGAAGAATTATACTTATCATTTCACATAGATTATCTGATTCCAATAGCTTCTACCTCAACATTCAATTCATATTGTTTAGGGTAGTCTCGATACTGATACCAAAAGATCAATTATTACAGTTTAGTTTAGAAGGTATCACATGACGAGAGTAATTTCAGAGTTAGCTGTCAAAAAGGATTGTATAACTGAAAACAAGTGAGTGGAAAGGAGAGACTTGAAAGAGAAAACAGATTTCAACATTTCTTAACATTTACATTGATGAAGGAAATCATATGATAATAATTTATATATTGTGTAAATAATAATTACAGAATTCACGCCAGTTTACAAGCATGATCAATTTGATATAAATAGTAACATTAGATGTAAATGATAGTTTAATAAGTAGTATGAATAAAAATAATATAAGATTTAGTTTGAGTCTCCTCTTCCATAACGGCTCTAGCCCAAGTTTATTACATCTAGAATTATAAGTCAAGGTACAATCAGCTGCAAGAATGTGAAGTGTAAATCGTCTCTGTACTGATTCCAGCCTTAATTTATCCTATATGCGTGCACTGCTAAGAATAAACGTGCAATATTCTACAAGTGGTCGAACACAAACTTTGTACATTAAAATACGTGACTCATTGTTATGAAGGCTTCGAGTTGTGTAACCTACTAGACGTTGAGACTTGGAGGTCTGTTTCAATATCTGTTCTGTAAACGACAAATCTTGGGAGTATCTAAGTCCCAAGTCTACTACTGTATGTAACCTAGATAACACTTCTCCATTTATAGTAATGTTTAGGTTGATCGATGTATCGCCGAAGCATATCCATCCACATTTAGCCGCATTAAGCTCCAGTTGCCATTTCAAGCACCACTGTGCTACCTTGTTAAGCTCCATGCTGATGCAATTTCGCACATTGTTCAGCTCATGTGGAGAAAATGGATATACTACTTTAAGATCATCTGAATATAGAAGGGGCTTACCGACACAAAAACCTTCACAAATATCATTGATAAACACTAAAAATAGCAAAGTGCCTAAGACACTACCTTGTATTACACCATTTCTAATAGGGATAGCGTTAGACAATGAGGAGTTAATTTTAACCAGTTGATGTCGATTGCTGAGAAAGGAATCAAACCAAGATAGCAAAGAATTTTGAACCACATAAGATGAGAGTTCGCCCATAAGAAATTGACGGCTAACCATGTCGAAGGCTTTAGAAATGTCCAGATATAGCACTAAGACTAAGTTTATTTATTAGTTTTCATGCATGTGAAGGAGATAGATTTTATAGAGTTGCTAGTCACGCACATAACTCTTGAAGCAGAGCTACTTATGATTCCTACACCATTCTCAGAAATATCGCTGAAAAGTTCTGCCATAGTTTAAGAGTCGTATATAAAAGTGCTGTTATGCTGGATGCATGGTATATCAACATTTCGAGTTGCTTTAGAGCGTTTATTGAAAAGGAGAGTTAAGTTTTATACCTTTGAGTTAGTATTGAGTGCTAACAGCTTCTCATTAATGGCTTTGAATCTATGTTTCTCTTTAATTTGATTAAAAATTATTGTTATTTGTGCAACTGCCGTGAAGTCGTTTGATTTGAAATAACGTTCTGTAGATGTCTTAGTTTATTACGATATTTAGCTGGTATATATAATTTGTGATTTTTACTAAACCTGTACGTTTTAAGAGGTACACAGGAATCTAAACAAGAGTTAACGATCAGATAGAATTCGTCAATAGCGTCCATGAGACTATTACATGAAATTTTTTATCATATTCTGTAAGTTTAATCAGTGAATGCAGGAGGTCCCAGTGATCATGGTTATAGTCTCAACTTTATTAGTTGTTAGGGTATCCAAAGCATATATAGTACAACCACCTCCTCGCTTAGTTTCACTGTCGCAGAGATAAAGTTGATAGTTCTGGATATTCAATTCTGAATTAGATACTGATTGAGAGCATCATGTTTCAGTGAAAAGTATAAAAGAAGGCTTGGCTAGAAAAACTAATGTTCTCAAGTCTGAAATTTTGTCCAAAAGTGAACGTGCATTGATAAGTAATAAGTGTGTGTATTTTGGATTTGCAAAGACTGTGATTTATTATCACACGGATCTTCCCATAGACGTCAACCCACCAACGAAGGAAGAAATCAGAGTGGCCGTCAGACAAATCAAGAACGGAAAAGCAGCGGGACCGGAAAACATATCAGCTGAAGCACTGAAGTCAGACATCGAAGCAACTACAAATATGCTTTACCTTCTATTCAAAAAGATTTGGGAGGAGGAACAATTGCCGATGGACTGGAAAGAAGGGCACCTCGTCAAGATTCCAAAGAAAGAAGATCTGAGCAAATGTGAAAACTACAGAGGCATTACACTGCTGTCAATACCAGGGAAAGTCTTCAACAGAGTGTTGCTGAACCGGATGAAGGATGCAGTAGACGCCCAACTTCGAGATCAACAAGCTGGATTCCGTAAGGATCGATCATGCACAGACCAAATTGCAACACTACGGATCATCGTCGAACAATCAGTTGAGTGGAACTCGTCACTATACATCAACTTCATTGGTTATGAAAAAGCATTCGACAGTGTAGATAGGAGGACATTATGGAAACTTCTTCGACACTACGGAGTTCCTGAGAAGATTGTCAACATTATCCGGAACTCATATGACAGTGCAAAGTCGTGCATGGAGGACAGCTGACAGATGCATTCCAAGTAAGGACCGGAGTCAGACAAGGCTGTTTACTCTCTCCCTTTCTCTTTCTTCTGGTGGTCGACTGGATTATGAAGACCTCAACTTATGAGGGAAAACACGGAATTCAATGGACAGCTCAAAATCAATTAGACGATTTGGACTTCGCAGATGACCTAGCCCTCCTATCGCATACACACGAACAAATGCAGACAAAGACAGCCTGTGTAGCAGCAGTCTCTGCATCAGTAGGCCTCAGCATACACAAAGGGAAAACCAAAGTCCTCAAATTCAA